TTAATGAAACTGACTCTGGAGGAAATATAAAATTTGAATAGCACCTATTAAAGAAAGTATATTCCTAGCTTGAAAACCTACCTATATGCCAACAATAGCCTCATATACATTTTAACTGATAAATTATATGAAACATTTAAAGCAGAAAAAAGAAGGAACACTTCCCCCCTCATTTTAGGAAATCAACATTGTGCTAATTCTAAAATTGGATAGAGATAATAGGAGAAAAAAGTATGAACATAGATAGAAATTTATTTAACAAAACAAACTATTAGAAATCAGATTTGGCAGTATGTAGAACGTTGTTTTATTATAGGGATGGCAGCATTGGTTCATCATTGGAGGATCCACCCCCAAAGGTCATCATTTTAAGAGGAAAGGAAAAAACCATATGATCCTGTCACTAGTTGGAGAAAAAGTATTGGACTAAATTCTACAGTTGTTCATGGTAAAAGCTACCAGGAGACTAAAAGTAGAACAGAACCTTCTCAACAGATCAAAGACATGCACTCCATACTTTCAGCAAAAATGCCTTATATGAATGGAGACGATACAATGCTTTCTCCCTAAAGTGGGGAACAAGGGCAGATATGCCTACTCTTCATCTGTCCATTAAACTTTGAAACATAGGCCAAAATCAAAATAGTCTGGCATTAAAATGACAAAATTAGGATAGGATTGACAAGGTAGAAGTAAAATCTTTATCTGTAGATGAAATGATCATCTATACAGAAAATACTAAGAAATCGCTAGGAGCCCCTAGAACTTGTATTTGAATTTAGCAGGATTAGAAAACACAAAGTATATATAAAAATTCAGGTCTATATATACTTGCTATAAATGAAGAAATGGATATTGAAATTTAAAAGTTATGTAGGAGTACAAAGGACCTAGAAAGGTAAAAAATACAAAAAACAGTGTTGGAAGACATTTAGCACCTAATTTTAAGACCTCCTCTAAAGCTACAGTAATCAAGGCAGTTTTGGTGTAAGGAAAGACATATAGATCATTGGAACAAAACAGAGCATCTAGAAATAGAACCACACATATATGGTCCACTAAGTTTTGAAACATCATTTAACATTAACATATCATAGAATATAAACTCAATTCAAGAGCAGAGGAATAGATAGTGTTTTCAGCAAATGGCACTAGAACACCTGGTATCCATATGTAAAAAATTAACTTCAACCCTTTATTTCCATACATAAAAATAACTTGAAAGGATCTATGAACCTAAATATGAAAGACTAAAACTATAAACTTTAAGAAGAGATTATGAGAGAAAATGTTTATGAATTTAGGATAGGCAAGAATTTCCCAGGATACAAAAAACATGATGTATAAAAGAAAAAAAGTGATAAATGAACTTTAGAGCTTTAAATGACATCATTAAAATGAAAAGTAGTCCTTAAACAGACCATATTTACAATGCATACAACCCATGACCAGAATATATAGAGAACTCTTAGAGCTCATTAATAGCCCAAGGCCGCCTGCTGCATAAGCACAAGGACCCGAGTTCGATCCCTGATACCAAAAAACAAACAAACAAAAAACAAAGAAAATAGAAAACCCAATTAAAAAGTAGACACAAGAAGATGCTAAATATCCAGTACAGCACAAGGAAAGGTGTGCAATACTAGAATAAGAAAAATACTAATCAGTACAATAACACGATTGAATTATACACCCATTAGGGAGATGAAGTTAAAATTTTTTAAAGCCTTGTCAGGACTTTCTTTTTGTTGGATTCTCTCCCTTTGCCTTAAATTTGTCATGCCCAACGGATTCATTCTGCTGGGCTTCCTGGGGTTGTGACCCTCATTGTCTTTTCCTAGGATATTGTTTAAAATTCTTTGGAGTGCTGGTTTGGTATTCATGAAGTTTCTAAGGTGCTGTTTAACATGAAAGTATCTTATTTCTCTATCCATTTTGAGATAGCTTTGCAAGGTACATCAATCTGGGTTGGGGGTTGTTTTCCTTTTGGGCTTGAAATACATCACTCCAAGCTCTTCTTGCCTTGAGGGTGTGTATTGAGAAGTCTGCTATGATTCTGTTGGACTTTCCTTTGCATGTGATTTGTTTCTTTTCTCTCACTCCTTGTAGAATTTTGTTCTTCTGTTGGTTTTATGGAATCCTAAGTATTATATGACTATGTGTAGATTTCTTTTCATCAAGGCTAGTTGCAGTCCTTTATGCCTTACTTATCTGTATGTCAAGTTCTTTTCCCCTTTTTGGGAAGTTTTCTGCCATCACTTCTGTGAACAGATTTTTTATGTCATCTGCACTCTCTCCT